ATATAATAAATGCTAGTTTTTTCATTAAAATTACTCTTATCCAACCAGCTAACAGCCACAGAGGGACATCCAGCTGCTGGTCAACCATCACAGTCTAAAAACATGCACCTTTGGCTCTGATTGGTTGGGATTTTTATGTGAATAACAGCTGGAATCTGGACCTTCACTCTCCTTTCATTGCACAACGCTGCATTGTTTTCAGAATGTGGTGAAAGAAGGAAAATATTTCATGTTGGCTTGTATTTAGAAGTTCTCCACGCCAAGAAGTCCCCCCCCCCCCCCCCCAATGTCGTACAAAACTAATATTTTCACAGTGAATGTTGAATGCACCAGTGAAGGTTATGAATCGACAATAGGGTGACTGAAGTGAGAAATGAAGAACAGACACTTTACACTTCATTTAGTTAATCAGAATGCGTGCATCATCATCTGCTCGTGTCACAAGAAGGAAATTAGAAAATGAAGATGTGTAGGTGTCTCTTTAGATGAAAAATGCATTGAATTCATGTGCCATGCTTAAATAATCAGCACATGCCTACATTTTTTTTACTAAAACATATAAATACATAATATTTCACCAATATCTTTTCTTGTAACCAGAAGAGATGTGTTTAATTAGCTGCTTTGCAGCGGTAATCAGTCAGTGATTTCTTCCTCTATCTGAAAGCAGCTGATATAAACGGCAGGAATCCTGCAGTTATTGTTAAAGGAGATTTTCAGTGTCAGATTTTGTATACATTTACATCCTAAGAGGAACAAATAAGTGATAATATGTAGAAAATCACACTCCTACTCTTAGCTGTGAATACATCTGACACTGTTTTTGTTCAGGACACACTCCCACTTTGCACCAAATATAGACTAATGCATTTAAAAAAATCATCACACAGAAAAAGTTCTATAGATGAGATAATTTAAGCTGGTGATACATAGATCAAACTGAAAAACACCAACTTCTGCTTCGTCTTCATAATACTACCATAATCTGAGCTAATCTTCTTCTTCTTTGGTCTTCTAGAGCTTGAAGCACATACCGGTGGTCTGCCCCCTCCCTTCAGAGTGTGAGTCCACCCGCATCTTCAAGCATCAAAGATACAAAAGTGTTTGATGGTCATGCATCTTCTTTGTCAGGGGCATGCAGGCTGAAAACCGACACGACCATATCTTTTGAAAGGCTTTTGTTGGGATCATGTGACGGAAACCCTTCCTTTCAGCTCTGATGCAGCCAGAGCCTCGTCACACCCGCATATCCAGTTAACTCTGGGTGGTATGAACACAGCTATGAGGCTTCGGTGCACAGAAGGTCATAGAAATAGCTTTGCGGAAAAACACCTAGCGTTCCTTTTTACAGTAAGATCAACTTAAGCTGAAAAATGTGTGACATCATGCATGATTACAAGATCCACCAGCTTCTGCCTCATGGAATTATAGCACAATATCTGAAAATTAAAGCCTTTTCTGAGTTAATGAGCTTGAATGAGATTGACTCTAAAAGTTAACCAGTTGTTTAGTGAGTGTAAAATTTCACTCAAATCCATCCCGTGGTTCATGACAAAATTCAGATTAAAAGTAGGACTAATGGCAAAATTTAAATCAAGGTTCTTGCATAATCTGTTAGCACACAGAATGTGTGATGGGGTGCATCTCAGGTGCAATCACATACAGTTTTAGCTTAATAATCTGGAAAACTGCCTAAATTTTGGACATTTTATGATTTCTAAGGTCTTTTTGCTGTAGCAGCTGTCTCTAATCTGGTTGATTTTATTGAACATGATGTAACAGCTGTTTTCTAAATGTTTAATTATCATCTGTCTTGTGATAATCCGCTAAAAGACACATCAATTTGTCCACAAAAACAAGCATCAGCCCCTATTCTACTGTAAGATAGTGAACATTTAGCAGTTTTTAGAGGAAAAGACAAGAAACTGGAGAATAAAATTACTTTTTAAACCAAAACAACAAGTTAATATAGTAAATTGAGCAATACATCGATCTAAATGTGACCTTTTATGCAGAATAATTGAAAATGTGTGCATTTAGCAGGAAGAAACCAAGACAATCTTGAATTTCAGAGTTCAGGTTTATTTATAGAAGTTAGAACAAGTTAATGGGCACCATAAACACAGGTGTGTGGAGCAATCAGAGCTAAAGATGAAATGCTGTCTTTATAATCAGACTTCACAACCAGAGGAGGCTTTTCCCAGCCAATGAAAGCGCAGCATCAGAAATACGTGTCCTACAGGCTGCAGGAGACATCAGGACCGCACACAGACAGTGTGTTTCCTTCACTGCACACCATAAAACCCCACCACCACCACCACACATGGCTGTAATAAGCCAACAAATTAAGCCATTATGCCGCTTTTTTAAGGTACACAGACATCCGTGTTTAAACGTTTTAAGAGTAGCAAGGGATTTCTCACCCAAAGTTCCATTGCACGTCCAAGACCACCAGGGAAACGAACGCACATCTTTCTTATCAACACGGAGTTGCTGGCTCTCCACAATGGCAGAAAGTAGAGTTTTTATCAGTGACAGGAAGATTTGCAGGCCTGCTGGGAGTTTTCAGTTTGTTTTCCTCGAACCTCGTGGTTGCTGGAAACAACGTGTTGGGTTTAGGATGTGTTAATACTTGCATGTTTCCTGTTTGAGCGCGGAGACATGGGTCAGATCATTTACAATATGTACAACCGGCTCGAGGCGATGCTGTGACTTCAGCCAAATCTAATGATGGTGTGTGTGTGTGTGCACTCCCACTCTGCATACAATTTAAGGGCAACACCTATAAAACTTCATTACGCTGCTACAGTAATGGGGTTCAGGAAAGTTCTCCAGGAGCTGACAAGAACAGGGGTGTCTTGTAAACCCTGGAGGGAACTTTCTAATTAAATACTTGCTCCTTAACTCCAATAAATAGAGGATTTCAGGCTTTTCCTATATGTCATATTTTCTCCACACCTCAGGCGCGGAAATGATGCCAGAAGTTGGGAGTCCATCCTGAGGAATTTGCTCAGAATGGTTTTAATAGTTTTCCATGCTGAATTGTTTTTCCAAGCTACTGTGAAACAAGCAGGAGAGAGCTTAAGGGAGAAGGGGGCTTCCCTGGGATGTTGGCAAGTGTTGATGTGTGTGTGTGTGTGTGTGTGTGTGTGGGGGGGGGGGGCTAATACAAAAAACCTGCCACTTTTTCACAAAAACTGTAATAACGAGCAGGGGCGAATTAAGGACTGAAGAACATCCGGGGCTTAACACACGCACACACACACACACGCGCGCGCACACACACGTGACACGCACCAGTCAACATCATATTTGTCTTGTACCACATAATTTATAATCTGAAGCTACATATTAAGCATATTCAGGGCAGAGTATTGTTCCTGTTAGTGTTTAGTGTGAGATGATAGTAAATATTCCCTTTCTTTCTCCAACAACGTTACCTGATAGTAAGCTAACTTTAGGCAAACCAGCAGCACAACAAATATTTTCAAATAAGACTCACAAACCAGCACCAGTCTCATCAAAGCTGGGGTTCTGTCGTTGTACTTTTGGTCTAAGAAACGTCCTTATGTCCATCTTCACTCATGCGTTTCAGGCAGAGAGTAGAAGAAGCCGGCTGCTGAAGGGCTTCTTCTTCAGTGGTGGAGGCTGAGGCAGGCTGTATACAAACTACTGCCAGCTGCTCCCTCTCTGTTGGACTTTGGTACTGCATGTTACTTCCGCGATTTAGATCCGGGGCTTTTCATTAAACATCCGGGGCTTCAGCCCAAGTAGCTGGGCCTAACGCCACCCCTGAAAACGAGTCCAACCTTTGTGTGAATGTTTTCTAAGACAGGTATCTGTTTCTTGGTACGGGATATATTTTCTTGTCATAAGGTTTAACTGTCAGAATGACTTCATAAATAGTTTCATAAATAGGTGACATTTGTTTATTGTTTTAATCCAAAGTGTTCAAATGAAGACAACTGGACATCTTTGGTTTCTTGAAGACGTTTCGCTTCTCATCCGATTTTTTTTACACATTTGATGACTTGTGACTTGTTTGGCTTACATTTGATCCAATTGAATTCTTAACATTCGTTGAAGACGTTGACTGGTTGATTGGGACGACCAGAGATTCTGAACAGGGTGACTGGAGATGAATCTAGCAGAAAAAAAAAGATTTCCATTAGAAATTCTGAAAGTTTTGGGCTTTAATTTATCCATGCATTTTCTCTCAAAAACAAGAGTCTGCATGCAGGACCTTGTATCTTTGGCGCCTCTTCTTTGGTGCCTCTGCAGAGGCTACATAAGATAAAGGCTTGTTGAACTGTTTATGTCAAATTTTATGCAAGTTTATGATTAAAATTCCTTTAAGAACACAGAATGATCAGTTTTCTCTCTAATTGTTTATCAGCTTGTTTACATCTTTATTCGTCCAATTTCCTTAATTTTCTTAAATCAACTTAAACATATTAAAATAAATACTGCAACAAAATAAAAAGTATGTTTGCACACACGCTGATTAGTAAGACGTACTGAAACAAGGGTGTGTTACTCTTATTGAAAATTTTTGAAATAACGTTCGTTTTTATGAAACTTTTGAAAAGATCGAGTTAATGACAGTCTGCAAGTAAAAACTCAACAAACTGGGTTTATTTTGTGTTTGCTGGAAGCTCATTCATGCATAATTGTTTCAAAGTGAGACACGTATTCATTTTTCACGTTAAAAAGTAACCCAATTAGTGAGTTATTAAATATATTGCAAGGTTTAAAGTTGTCATAGTTTCTGTGTCATGCTTACAGCTGAGGGCTGTAAATATATTAAATATGATAATAAACTTCTGATATTAGACAGGTTATAATAATAATTTATGTTGTCTCACACCCTCTTCCTCTCCACACTCAGCCTGAGCTCTGGATTGTGTGCAGGATTCTGCAGCATTCTACCTGTTTTTAGCTCCTCGCGCGCGTCACTCACCGCGCGCTCCTCCAATCCCAGCGCGAGCGGAGCCCGCGACTCCTCCCCGGCGTATAATTGAAGTTTCTTTAGTTTCTCCGGCGGAGCTGGAGCTCAGTGTTTGTCCGGTTCGCATAGGGATTAAAGAGCCTCACGGGCAGCGGGGAGCATGTTTTCCGGGAGCCTGAACGCGTGCGTGACGCTGTGTTTGTGGATTACAGCCGTGACGAGTCCGGGAAGTGTCTCTGCGAGGAAGCAGGACGACTCCAGCTTCTTCACCGGCAGCATTTATCGAGCGAGATGCGCCTCGAGATGCCTCAGCCTGCACATCACTCGCATCTCTGCATTTTTCAAGCACTCGCAGGTAGGAGCGGGGGTGGTGGTCGCCGGTGCAAATCCCGGATCCTGCGTGAGCTCTGTCATAAAACCTGCGTCTGTATGGGTCCGCACCAGAGTGATGCTCCTGGTGAAGTTCCTGCCTCAGACAGGCAGTGTGTTGTTCCCGTAAAACGGGACGCTCTCTAATGCATCTCATTAACACGCTGCTGTGACTTGGAGATGATTAAATAACTCCAAGCGGAGCCAGTTTCCATTCATTACTGGCTAATTACTGGAAAATGAGAGATCACATTCTTCGAGCGCAAGTGTGACTTTTCTCTTGTTCTGTGGTTTTTTTATATAGCATGTTGTGATGCAGCTCCTGGGTTGGAGCTACTATAAATTAGCTGTATGCTTTGGTTGATTTGGTTCAGCTGTCAGAAGTTGTTTTTCACTCCACTGGGTGCGTGTTTTGTTTCTCTCCCAGGACCCCAGAGGGAAAAGAGCTGGACACTGATCCCTCTCCTCATTGCTTCTTTTCTCTAGCTATCTGCTTTTACACTCACCCAATTAGCATTTGCAAGGCTTGTCTTTTCGTTTTTTTTTCTTTTCATAAGGTGCATCAATGAATTCCTAATTGTTTGGAAACACAGTGAAGCTTGATGAATGAGTAATTAGTTGTAAGGAATCAGCTTGTTTGTAGCAAATTAATTTTACTTTAAAAGCACTTTATTGATTCAGAGTTTAGTTCTTAATGCAGGTTCCTGGGACCTGCTGGGGGTAATTATATCAGTTTTATTAAAGAGGCTGAACTGAATGCTAACTACTGTGAGAGAGAGAGAGAGAGAGAGAGAGAGAGAGAGAGAGAGAGAGAGAGAGAGAGAGAGAGAGAGAGAGAGAGAGAGAGAGAGAGAGAGAGAGAGAGAGAGAGAGAGAGAGAGAGAGAGAGAGAGAGAGAGAGAGAGAGAGAGAGAGAGAGAATAAAACATAGAAGTGATGTGCATCCAAGAGAAACAGACTGTAAACACTGTTTCTTAAAGTGAAACTTGGCAAGTAGCAGCAGGGATTTGTTTTGAGCAGATTCCAAGAGAGTAATGCTGCCCAAGGTTGCAAAGTCGGGGAATTAAATTAGTCACCAGCTAAGAAGTAAAATAACTGTTGGAGCCTCACCTCTAATGAACAGCTAATAGTCAACATAATTGACTGCAGAGCCTCTGAGTCTGAGGCGCTCCTGGGTTAGGGGGAAAATAAGAGGGAGGCATTTAGAGAGGGGTGGCTACTGATAAGCAAGGAAGCTAGAGCTGTCTAGTGTGCTGTGGGCTCTTTCATGTGAGAATTGGGGGGTCTGGTCAGCTGCAGAAACATATGGCCACCCCCCACCCTGCTGGCCCTGCCAATAAATGCCAGCATCACACCTCCCAGGCATGCACAGGATGCACCCGGCTCAAGGCGAGGTCACCTTCCAGCTAAACGCTGTTCGCCCAGTTGGGCTAACCATGATAATGTAGAGTTTGCACCGAGCGGAGCAAGTCTGCACCAACCTACAGGTGGATTCACTTCCTTTGCATGGTCTCATTGCAACAACGAGTCAACTCCACTCCAGTGATCGAGACGACAGACCTCTTAATTCAACTCGGGCATCCTCTGGGGGTGATTTAATGCTCACCAAGAAAACCAAGACACACAACACTTTCCATTTTATTGGAAATGAAATGCCCCAGTTGTATGTCAAAACAGAGTTCTCTTCCCAGTGCTTAATATCATACCCTCTCTGCTCAGCATCTAGTAACCTATACGAGCTGCTGCTTATTTTGGTCTTGAAACAAAAGATAATTTGCCCTCCTAACACACTTAGCAGCTGGGTTTTTAAAATTTTAGATGGGATTTGATCACTCTGCGAATACTGGAATGCTGCTCAGAGAAATGAGATGTTGTTACAGATGTTACGAACGCCCACAGAACTAAAATCAGAGAACGTGTTTTAATTGCCAGAATTAGTACGAAATGGAAACAAGCGTGAAGTTGCAGAGTTGAGGAACCCCACGGGTAGTCTCTCTCGCTCCTCAGATTTATAGCAACTGGAGATTTATTGATGGAATCGGATTTCCAAATACAAATTTATTGAGATTTTTCTCCACTTTTGGGGAACTTGTCACCCCGGTACAATAGACAGAGGGGAACACCCAACCATAAATATTAGCCTCGGACACTTTTAAATTTTAAGAGCGAGCTGGGAGCCCTGTGCAATAATGTATTCTGAAAGCATCAGCCCTGTGGTGGATTATTTATGCGGGGATCCGTGAAGCCAAAAAACAAGGCGTGTCCATGAGGTTGTGTTATTACATTCAAGGCAATAAAAATACAACATGCATTTTAAATTTAGTCATTCATTTCTAATATGCTGCACAGTAAAACCAAAGCCGCTCGCTTGATAGATTTGTGTCTCAGGGAGAGTGAAGAAAAAACACCGGAGAGAAGTTTTTCCATGTCCCGTTGTTTTCTCGCTTTGATATTAAATGGCCTGTGGTGGAATCGAACCCACAGCTCATACTCGTCTTATGTGTGGAGTTTTTCATCAGTGAAGACAGCAGATGAATAGAGGTCTATGTAGCTTGGCCTCACCTCAGTGTGTGTGTGTGTGTGTGTGTGTGTGTGTGTGTGTGTGTGTGTGTGTGTGCACCAAGGGCTACCTCACTTTGATGAATGGCCCTCATTCCAACGTGGAGACAACTTTAAACCAGTGTTGTTTGAGATCCATGAAGCACCCATTTATGTTAACACTAAATGAGAACATATTAGCTCACTTTCAGGGCATCTGACGAATAATTCATATCAACTGTAACATTATTGAATGACCACAGCCCTCACACCCACAAAGATAAAAGACTCGGACTGAAACCCATTTCCTACCCCTATTTCTATCCCTATATTTAATTTAAATCCCTTTTTACACCTTTCCTTTTCCCTATAGTTTTCACATCCACAGTGATGGGGGGTGAGGGGTGCTGGTTGAGGTTAACCAGCTCTTAATGTGGTTTAGAAATGAAACTTGAAAAAAGAGAGGAAATACATGCAAAAGTGTATATATTTTTTGTCATTAGAATTCTTTCTACTGGCAAAAAAAAGTTTTTTACTGTTTAGTTTTGTAAATATTAATTTACAATTTAGATGCATCTCTAGTCTAAAATTAATGATAAAAATAATAATGCATTGAACTTATATAGCGCTTTTCAAGACACCCAAAGATGCTTTCACACACTCTCACATTCACATTCAAAATTGGGACATAGTACCAATGATCTCATTTAAACTTATGACTGAGTTTGTGTGTGTCCATGCATTTCTTTTAGTAATACTGTTGTTTTTTATTAACAAGCATGAATAATACTGTTAAACTTCAGCCTACCGTCAGATAAATACCTCCTCTAGGTTGGAGTGCTTTTACTCGGAGGAGTTTAAAGGCCAAGTTCACTGGGAAACATGCAGGTTAAACGTGGAAATAGTCTTCTACCCTAATTTTCTTTATTAGCTGCTGATAAAAAAGATACAGGGAAATGCTTGGATTAGAAAAGGCAGTCAATTGCATGTCACATTGTCAAATTAGCATTCATAGACTCCCCCATCTTGGCTCACAATGGGGAAGGCTGTTGTTGGTTTAGTGTCCAGGAGAGAGCAGAGCACATATTGGATAGTAGAAGCTAACCATTAGCATTAGCAGCTCTACATCGTGGCAGAACTCCTTCAAGCTTGTGGTATTTGTGGATATAAAACATCAATGTTCCAGAGCAAGAGGAGTTAGTGGTAGAGTTGTGTTGTTGTTAGCCAATCAGAGGCAAAATGTTCAAATGTCAGGAAATAAGACTCAAAATTCTGCCATCTTCTGCTCACCTCTGCTCTGGCTAACTTCTAGTTCCTGAAACAAGAGCGCCAGTCAATCTGCAGAAATCAACTCGCAAGGCATTAGTTTACACTAAAAACCACTGCAGTGGAAAAAAATAGTGAACTTGGTCTTCAAGTTTGACCAAAAAGACAAGATGCCATATACAAGTGGGCGAGATAATCCTCGTCTGCGAGTTGACCGGTCTCAGCCTTAGAGATAAAGTGAAAGGCTACATCATCGTCAGAGATCGACTGCTTCTCCTCAATGAAACAAGTCAGCTGAAGAGGTTCAGACATCTGATTAAAATTTCCCACTGGTATTCTCCCTCTGGACATCTTCCCAACATATCCCACTGGGAAGAGACTCAGAGGCAGAGACAGGACTATTTGGAGGTATTTATATCCCCTATGTCCTGGGAACACATTGAGATCCCTCTGGAGGAGCTGGAGAGTGTTACCAGGGAGAGGGATATCTGGGTTTCCAGTCTGGAAGTGTGACATCTGCAACATGATCATCGATCAGTAGCAGGAAACGAACAGATACCGAATTCTGCTGCAGGCCTGATAGCTAGTTTTCTATAACACAAATGGGCACACTGTCACTGCTTCTCTTTGTACAAAAGAAATCGGCAACTATTGATTGTATATTGGCCTCTTGAAGGAGTGTCCAATTTTGCAAAGGAATATTTCAACCTCTATATTCTGTGACTTCAAATGGATAAACAAGAAGTGGGGGTTACACCGGGGCATGATGTTTGGCAGATCTCCTTGGCCTATAAGTGGCAGGAACAGTGGTTGTAATTTTGCAGTATAGTGATTACCTTTCAGCTGGCAACAAGCTATTTTTACCCCAACTGGTGCAATGAGTTGCTTCTCATTTTTTAAACAACCATGTGGAAAGATGCATCTGGTGGTCGAGGAAAAGATGTTAGTCTGTTCGAAAAGGGTCAGATCGTTGGCATGCACCAATCAGAGAAAAAAATCTAAGGAGATTGCAGAAACGACTAAAATTGGGTTAAGAACTGTCCAATAGATTAACAACTAGAAGGATAGTGGGGACCCATTGTCTTTGAAAAAAATCCACAATGATCGTTCGTGATTGGTGATCACTTTAACAACTGATGATATCAGTTTGAAGAAAAACAACAGCAGAATTCAGGGCTATGTTTAATAGTGAAAGTAAGAGCATTTCCACATGTGCAGTGCAAAAGGAACTCAAGGGATTAGGACTGAACAGCTGTAGAGTCGTAGAAAATCCACTAATCAGTGAGGCAAACCAAAATAAAGGCTTCAGTTTTCTAGGGAGCATAAAGATTGGACTCTGGAGCAATGGAAGAAGGTCATGTGGTCTGATGAGTCCAGATGGACCCTGTTCAAGTGTGATGGGTGCATCAGGGTAAGAAGAGAGGCAGATGAAGTGATGCACCCATCATGCCTAGTGCCTACTGTACAAGCCTGTGTGGACAGTGCTATGATCTGGGGTTGCTGCAGTTGGTCAGGTCTAGGTTCAGCAACAGCAGGTGCTCCAAGTGTGAGGTCAGCGGACTACCTGAAAATACTGGATGACCAGTTTATTCCATCTTCCCTGATGGCATGGGCATATTCCAAGATGATTATGCCAGGATTCGTCGGGCTCAAATAGTGAAAGATTAGTTCAGGGAGACATATTTTTCACACATGGATTGGCCACCACAGCTTCCAGACCTTAACCCCATTGAGAATCTTGGGGAAGTGCTGGAGAAGGCTTTGTGCAGCGGTCAGACTGTACCATCATCAATGCTAGATCTTGGTGAAACATTAATGCAACACTGGATAGAAATGAGTGTCGTGACATTGCAGAAGCTCATCGAAACAATACTGCAGAGAATGTGTGCTGCAATCAAAGCTAAAGTTCAACTAAATATTAGTGTGTGACCTTTTTATGGTGATGACGTTTTTTTATGGCCAAGCAGTGTATATTTTCCTTGCTAGGCAGCTTGTACTATTTAATTGGACGTGCCTGTTAAAAATTGGTTTGTAGAGCCAGGCAGCCATGTTGGTCTTCCTCTATGCAAACATGCATGGGCAGAGCTAAGGCATAGGGTATAGATGTAAATGGGACTTACCAGTCCCTCCTTTTAATTTTGCATACATCTGAAGGCAGACAGAGACAGGGATCTGCTCTCTGAAGTCATGTCTGCTGTCAACTTGTTCAGATGTCTACAATGTCTTCTACTATAGACCAGGAACTTCTTCTGTCTTTGAAATCACGAGGAAGGGCAAGATTAAATACAATTTGAGAAAGAGGAAGTATTTAATCCAAATTAAACACCTATAAGAAAAGAAGATTTACAATTTTCAAAGGGACTGGTAGCCTCAAAGATAAAGAGGGGTTTTGTCTGTATTCCTCATAGTTGTCTAGACAATACAACACGCCTCTGGCCACCTGCTCCGACTCGTCGGCTGACAGCAGCCATAATGAATCTCTCTGAAAGTGTCCCCTTTACATGCTGCTCTAGTCACTCCACTTTCATCAACACAGCAGAGTTCACCTTTGCTCACTGGAAGTACGTTGTCTGCCCTTTTCTCAACCCTGGTCACACTGAGGGATATCCAGAAAAAATTCATTCCACTGGAGTTCTTGACAGTTCTCAGCGCTGCATAATGTTCAGAGTGCAACAGAATGTCATGGTGAGTCAGAGGGATGAAGTCCTGACCTATAATTATTCCCTTGTTGGTGCCTGAAACGGTGGGGTCAGGTCTGGACAGCTGGGGCAACATCCTGCTGAGCCTCTCTGCAATGGGGACACTGTCACATAGCAAAATTAGCTCCTTTGTGGATCGGGCCCCATCTCGATTGATGGATGGGCAAAGGAAGGCGTCAGAAAGAGGATTGATGATTTTGGACATAGTCTACAGTTGCGACAATCTGTAGAAAAGAGTCTAGAAGCGGTTCTTGCTAGTGTGTATGAGGTTTTATCACCACTGAGGTTTCTCTTGGTTGGTTTGATTGTTTAGAAAAAAAACAGAAAAACTTCAAGCTCTGCAAGGATTTCAGTGGATTCAACAAAGCAATGCTCTAGAGAGGAATATGTGATGTTTCAATCAAATGTAGCCTGACAGAGAACAGGTGTTTTATATCACCCAAAAGGACAGTCCACCTGCAACAAACGCTGATACCAAACCAGCCCTCATTTCACCTTCATTTGGTTACAAAAACAACAATTCCAGCTCTCATTAGTGCTCAGACTTCTATATACTTCATTTTTATCTGCAGCCTTTTGAGAGGGAGATTCTCTGAAGACATGACCATCCAATCATGGATTCCTTTGAAGCCATTTGACTGCTATCCTTGACATTAAAAAGCACAACACTTACTGGCACTGGATGTCAAATTAAACCCCAGTAATGATAACTTCCCTCCCAGTGTCTCATGGGAAATTTCTTCTGGATTACATTGTGAGGAAAAGGCTTTGAACTTGACATTGAACTTAAGCAGAACCCTTTGCTTTCAGATCCCTAAAGTTTGGAAGGCTTTTTTCTAATCATTTATTTGCGATATTTGTGATTAAAACCACTGAAGCGGTTGTTTATTGTATCCATCACACATAACTGTACACACGCTTCTGAATACATTAACATGTGTTGTTTTTTGAGGTTTGCAGCTTTTTTTTTTTAATCATAAGCTCCATCGCTAGCTAAGCACACTTTCCTTTAGCAGAGAATAATTCCCCTAAAGGAGTATGGGAAATGACCAGTTTTAGCCCTACTTCTTCACTTGATAATCCTAAGCATTAAGGCATGCAAGTTCATGAATTCACAACACTATCCGTACCAAATGTTTGAGGGCAAAGGTGGCACCTGCACAGCAATTAGAGGAAATTGTCCGTAGCCTGCACATGAGTGCTTACATCAGTTTTTCCCTCGCTTGACCTCAAGGAGATTTGTTGAGAGATCAAACAAATCCTCAGAAAAGCAGAGGTCACTGAAACATTGACCAGAGGTGTGCTTCAGCCTAAGCAATGGTGACACCCCCCACCACCACTTCTCTTGGGTTATAAACACACTCCAAGTCGGCCTTTCAAATTACCCTAATCAATCAGGAAGGTCATGCCTAAAGCGGAGCCGTGCGAGGACATATCGTGACTGCAGAGGAGAGGGTCAAAGTTACTCGTGCTCTTGATGGATTTATTGTTGTAAATGTATTTTCAACACTTTTCTATGATGACTAATGATGTTTTTCCTTCTCTTTCACAGAATAATGGATCCTTGGTGTGGTGCCAGAATCACAAACAGTGCTCCAAGGTAATGGTGGTTTCATTGCTTTCATGAATGAGGTGCATGCCACGTACAAGCCTCATTATCAGAGAATAATACCAGAAAAGTGCACGAGTCACGACAGGACTCGTCCCGTCATGCCGCCACTGCAGACATAATGAACTGTTGATGTAGACTATCACAAAAAAAACTCTTTTATGCTCAGCGAGTGTTCACTTAAGTCACTTATGCTTTTGTTGATGCTCATTTGCTCTTGTAATTGGAGTATAATTAAAAAATACATCTGAAGAGGCCTAATGCTGGAGTATGTGTGAAGGCAAAATGTAATTGTTTTTCTTTTTTGCCGTCGTTTGGAGTCTCAGTCATTGCGACGTGTCCCGCAGGGCTTGTTTGTGTGTTGGGCCCTGTCTCACAGAGGCTTGATACAAAGCTGGTGCTGACAGCTCTTCTGAAAAGACAGCGCTGACACAGTCGATCAGACTCTCCTGGAGCTGCTGACAAGGTCCTCGGTTATGCGCCATAACGACTGTAGGCTTTAAGCACCGCAGGGATGACATAGGATGAAGGATGCACTTGCAGAGCGAGGTCCAAGTCTCAGCATGGCATTTCTATAGATGTCAAAGGCCCTCATCTCCTTTTGCAAACAGTGAAATCGGGATTCATTGCTGCTACATACACTCATATATCCACTAGAGTACACTAATCCTTTTCACGAAGCCGTGTATCTGTTTCTGCGTTCATGTGGCCCTCCCTTGAAGCAGTAGAGGCTTATCAAAATAACATATAGGAAGAATGTTTTTGTTAAAAGGATGACAAATAGCATGTGGTCCCTTTGTGTATTTATTAGCTCCTCTATCTACAGACATAAGTTACAGAGGAATGCACAGTAAAAAGTAGCACAAACTGATTGTTATTAATTGAAAAGCCAGCAATATAAAGAGTGGCTGCAGCTTTTTTATGTTTACTTAACGTAGCTTCTTGTGTGCTGCTAATATTAATCACAATCAGTGTCTGGTATCAGCAGCCTGAGCTCGATTTCCAAATAGCTTTTTTGAATTTCAAGTGGTTCCAAAAAAATTAGCATCTGGCCTGGAAACATCAGATTTTTCTCCTGCATGTAGGTTGGGTTAGGGGTTAGTTATCCCCATTTACAACATGCTGTTCTACTGGGTTGGTGAATTTGCCCCATTAATGTTTACAATTTACATCGCATGTAGAAACATTTGGAATAACTAATTTTGTTGGAGGCAGATTTTTAAAGAACTGCAGTTTGGAGAAACAGAGTATCTGATTGGGCTGGCGAGCCAATTTACGAATGTGTGAAAGACGCACTACGTAGACGTCACGGTCTCGGCGGCTAACAGAAGCCCTTGGAGTCTACGGTTTGGTATTCACTGGACATGACGCAGCACGTGTCAGATGCATCCCAGAAACATGTCGTCACACCTCTGCACTAAAGAGGAGGTTGGGTTCCATTTTCGATGCACCACTCTTCCAGAGCGCATCAAGCTCTGCAGTTAACATAGAGCTAAACAGCTAATGAAACATGTTACAGTTTAAAGGGTCCAGTAAATTTCAAAATAAAAGACAAATGCAGATTTGCAATTGCTTAGCTATGTAAACATTACATCATTACTGGGTCATGTGCTCCCTGCATCTTTTGAGGAGAGAACTGCATGGACGACGGGGGTTTAATCCTGGCATTGTAGAATCACAACATGACCCCGGCGTTTCCATCCATGGTTGTTATGGAGGTATCAAACCACGATGAAATTTGGGACATTAATGTTTTAGTACACTAGCAATTCCCTATAAGCTTTGCCCCCCTAACCATTAGCTTATCAATCCAGTCAATTAAACATTATAACTGAAGTCATTGAAAGACTTATTTCCAACAGGTAAGACAACATGCCCTATAGGTTATAAATTGTAATTCCCTTAGAATAAAAGCGTCTGCCAAATAAATAAACATAAATAAACATGAACTATAATTGCTTATAAACTTTCCACAGAAACCCTTTTTTAAAATGTCTGAATTATCGATTTAAGGCTTTCAAAATAAAGTTACACCATATAATGTTTCATCTTTCTTTAACAGTTAGGAAGCCATTCCCTCATTTTCTGTATCACAATAAGAAAGTTGTTCTTGTTTTTTCCACAAACATCTCCCAATAGTCTTCAAGTGTTCATTCTTTCCACACTCAATTGGTTATTATTGCTGAATCTCCACACACTTCTTCCTCTTCCTGCAATAACAATCATGACAGTTAGCACTTCTTTATTTTCTACATACAGACTTAAATACACAACGCTGGATTTGATGTAAGCCCTTAAAATTAATTATATGTTTGTGTTGCGGCTCCACTGCACTGAACCTGCCACAGCTCTTGTCCATTTTTGAGGGCTCTCCAGATTTAATTCATTTAATCGTATCCAAGGTTTTGGTTCAGCTATTCCGGAGGCGAGCCAGGGCACGGTGCTTACATTTGATTTGTGGAAAGAAGTCAATGTTTTGGGAGCAAACATCACCACACTTCAATTCCACATCAATAGCTGGAGTGCACACGGGGCTTGTGTGCGGCGTGTCAAAACAGATCTATTGTGGCCACTCTAACAATTCTACTAAATGGGTCTGTGCTGTACAGTGGTTCTCTGTGAATAGCTCTGCAGCCGCTGATTAGCCTCTTGACTTCATGAACGGCACACAGTCAAACAGAGAGACAAAGACGTGGCTCTAGGATGCGTTAGGGCAGGAGGTTTGTCTACGAAGGGATTCTGGTAAGGAGAAAATAAAAGTGAAGAACGGTTGTTTAATGGAAAAGACAAAGATGTGACCCTGTGCGTCGGTCGGCATTGTAAGAAATCAAACGCTCCATTTCCATTTGTGATTAGTGAGTCATTCTGGTCATCTCGTATGCGTTGTCCAGAGCCTGCCCCCTGCCTTCTGCCTCCCCATTGTCATGATAATTAACCTGCTTACCCGCTCTCTTCGCAACAGAGCGAGGTGGCATTTGGAGAGATGGGGAGTCATTACAATGCCATACCACAGGACCAGCAGACAATCCGCATTCAGCGGGGAGACGACAGGGACGCACACAAGGGGCGTCTCATTTTGTCGAGAAGTTTAAATATACTCCTTAAAAGCTTCTTAAACTCCCTGGCATTTCTTTTAATATTTATTTTTGTCGTGCTAGGACAAAGAAAATGGGTTTAGTGTGCAAAAGCAGCCAAGGAGCTTTCCAGTTTTATAGCATAACTGATAGTTACAGGGGTCACTTTCCCCCATGGGTGTGATTCAGATCCCTTCAAATGCCAGGATTGACTTAAGGCACCAAAAATGCTGGTCTGCAACAATGCGGCATGCTTCATTACTCAGACATCTCTAAGGGGAAAACTAGAAGAAAGGACCTTGTGCCTGGATGAGTTAGCCACTGGAAAGGAGCTGAGGAGGGGTGGGATGAAAATCAGTGTTTACCCTGAAAACTTGCCAAATTAGAGCTATGAGGAAAAAAAAAGCCTCAACTTTTAGTCTTAGCATTGCAGAAGAAAGAGGTTTTCAAAACATTGCCTGAGTTTTTGTTTGATGCCGAATGAGTCGGGCACGGCTTTCACCGATGTCTCACAAACCCTCCGATCACTCTTCTAAGCGTTCTTTCCAATCCGTCACACCCTAAGCTGCGAATTCCTGCGCAAGAATAACAAGTGTTTACTCTTTTGAATACATGGCTTTCGTTTTCACGTGTCGGAGGTTTTTGGAGCAGTTTTCCTGGATAACAATCGCTGGAATGCTACTACGTCACATTCAAAAGTGTCTTTCAAAGCCCACTGTCAACGCGTACCAGCCCCCGCATTTTCTCACGCCAAAATAGTAACCAAAAAAAAAAAAAAACAATTCCTTTTCGGGTTTTCTGTCTGTTTTCAGAGTTGCCTGAATCAGAAGCTCAACACTTTCACTGGAAGGTTTTGTATTGAATCTTGGATGTTCATACCCTTTCTAAGAAAATATTTGAATATATTTAAAAGTGCAATGAAAAGTTGTGATGAATTGAGTGCTGGCTGGTAGTTTTACAGCTGGGTATGGCCGGGTTTGTTAGGTGCTTGGACAGACTTCAAAGCGCCTTTTGGTCATGTTAAGGCCAGACGTTCATAGCACCTCAGTGTGTTAGTCACATTACCAGCACCAACGCCTCAGAGCAAACTGGGCCTGACCATCAATCTGTCATGTCGGCCGTGTCAGAACTTCCTGCCAGTTTATGTGGAGTTCTAGAATCAGTCCTAGCTAGTTCATTAATCGCCCAGTTTACGTGGATTGTTCAAGGAGCCGGTGGCGATCGAGTAAAGAATCAGCTCTCTGGTTTTTATCTGCTTTGAGGCAGTTTGAGTGTGTGAGTGTGTGTGTGTGTGTGTGTGTGTGTGTGTGTGTGTGTGTGTGTGTGGGTGGGTGGTAGAGGAGTGTGAAGCTGGGCTGGTCAGTCCCAGCAGGAAAGGCCTGATCTGGACATGGTTGTTAAGTTTCATTGGCTAACAGGGGGGTCGCTTCATTGGCTGCTATCTGTGCAGCTCATTATTCACATGGTGGGTGGCAGCAGAGAACGAAAACCCCCCACAGCAAGAAAAAACCCCAAAGACATAGCCGCAGGAGAGGAGAAGAGATTCGTGAAACGACGTTTTAGACTTTGTCAGGGGTGAAATCTCCCACCTGAAGCTGCTATTTGCCTGTTCAGTATCAGAAATGCTCTTGTTGTCTCATACCAGCACCCCCCTCACCTCCCCCAGTTATTTTCCTGATCCTGTAGGTGGCTTTGAAATAGTGGTCGTTTATTTTTGAGACGATCCAACTTTCACAGATCGCCAGATTTCCCATGTTCTCCCTGTCAGGCCACATTTCATTTTCCCGAAGGATTAATGTAATCAAAGCAGCTGTGAAATCCTCTTTGAGAAATAATGACCAGTCAGACTGACACAATCTGCTGTCAACCAAATGTTTATCCTCAGTCCGTGGCTGTATTGGCTGAAAACACAAACTA